GGGGGGGGGGGGGGGGGGCTTTCTTTTTGTGTATTCTTTTGGCCCCCATATGGTTTCGACCCCATAGTGTCACACTGATCAACGTGTGGGTGGGAGGGGGGGGAAGCAGCAACTGAGGGCTGTGTTTTTATGCATTTAAATCACTTGTCCATCATGATATGACTCAATCATCATGGTATGACTCAATCATCATGACATGACTCAATAATCATGGTATGACTCAATCATCATGGTATGACTCAATCATCATGGTATGACTCAATCATCATGATAGACTCAATCATCATGGTATGACTCAATCATCATGGTATGACTCAATCATCATGGTATGACTCAATCATCATGGTATGACTCAATCCTCATGGTATGACTCAATCATCATGGTATGAGTCAATCATCATGGTATGACTCAATCATCATGGTATGAGTCAATCATCATGGTATGACTCAATCATCATGGTATGACTCAATCATCAAGGTATGACTCAATCATCAAGGTATGACTCAATCACCATGGTATGACTGAATCATCATGATATGACTGAATCATCCTGGAATGACTGAATCATCATGATAGGACTGAATCATCCTGGTATGACTGAATCATCATGATATGACTGAATCATCCTGGTATGACTCAATCATTATGATATGACTCAATCATCATGATATGACTCAATCATCATAATAGGATTTTTAATTTTATGGAGGGTTGACATTTCCAGCGGTTGGCATGTCATTATTGGTTTTAATGTAAAAATGTATTGATGTTATATGTATTACTTATACCAAAATGCAATACACGCACATTTTACAGAGGAAATTACTTAATTTCTAAATCATAAAGCAAAATTCAGGAAATTTCTTTGTGCACAATTTAAATTAAAACTTATTTGTTTTGTTTTTTCCGTGCACATTTATTTTCCATTTTTTTACGTATGGAGATTCACAGTTGCTCATATTTGAAAAGCTTTTTTTTAACTTTAGAAACAATTAGGCTAGTAACGTAATTGTAAAAATAAATTCTTAAACCGTCCATTCTGCTCACTAATGAATACATATTGACACGTAAAGAATTTTTATGTATTTATTTGAAATGCTGCCATCATTACCGGTATGTAAGTGTATATGTATTTAAGGACACAACAATAACAATAAATTAACTCGCTCCAAGCGCCACTGTCATCGATTTTCTAAGCACTTCATTTCTTACATTTTCAGCCAGCACAATGAACATGTGATCAAGTTCAGGACTTAGAAAGTCAATCAGCAATCTAGAACACATCTGTTGTTAAAACTATGAACACATTTATTGATTTATTGTTTTAAATTTGAAAATTTGTTGCGTATTATTCCGAGTCAGTTTCTTCAGGCCCTGGGATGACATACTTTGATGGTTCTCCTAAGCTCGCAGTCTCTGCTGGCAGCATGTTGACATTTATTGGCGTGTTGCTTGTGATGATGGCAGCCCCGTGATTTGATTGACATGCGACGCTTCTGTTACTAACAGAAAACACACCGCTATCAACTGGATCCCCAGAGTCCACTGAAATGTCTCTGTCCGCACCAGCTTGGCTTGGCCCAAATTGGTCTTCCTCAGGTTGGCTTGACCCAAGTTGGCTTGGCCCAGGTTGGCTTGGCCCAGGTTGGCCTGCCTCAGGTTGGCCTGCCTCAGGTTGGCGTGCCTCAGGTTGGCCTGCCTCAGAGTGGCCTGGCCCAGGTTGGTCTGTCCCAGGCTGGCATGTCCCTGTCTGGCCTGCCCCAGGATGACCAGCCCCGGGTTGGTCTTTACGTTCACGTCTACCAACGTGCTGCCTCGAGCTTAAAGCCATGTCTCCAAATTCTCCCCTCAATGCTTTAAGAGGCTCCGCTTTGATTGGTTTACCACCGCCAATCAAAGACGTATTCTGGTCGGCCAAAGTTTCGTTGTCTAAATTGGAAGTGCAAAGACGGTGTTCTTTCTTTGACAGCTGACAGTTCTCGGTGAGCCACTTTGATCTTTCCTCGTCTAAAATAAATTCACGTTGATCTATTTCAGCTTTTTTCTTCTTTAGTAACCCCGAAATTCTACCAAGGTCATGGTCATCTTGCCAGAAGTTAATAATCGGCTCTAGGTAACGAAGAAGCAATGGCAGCACGTAATCTCGCTGAGACTGCGTGTGTAATGGGATCACCGTCCATTTTTTATCATTGTCCTCGAGCGTCTTTTTAAGGGACACCTGACTCAGCAGGGTGGACCAGGTGCATTCACACAACCTTTTCGTGACATAAATAAAAGTATACATAGTTTTTTCCAGACAAGCTTCCAAATGGTTCACAGGAGCCACTCCGATTCCCAGCAGCTCAATCCTGCAGTTCAATTCTTTTCTTAAAAACTGACGACAATCTTCTGCTTGTTTCAAATCTGCCTCTGCAGAGATGATGAGAATCTCAAAATAATCCTCTCGAAGGGACTGCGGCAGCTTGTGACACATGCTTGAGTTCTTGGCTTTAAACGGACGGCTGAACTGACCAGCGTCCACTATTTCTGGATTTTTGGTGTCACGTGGATATGGCTCACACTGAGCATCGGGCTCAATTTCTGTTGGTTCATTAGTATGAGCTTTAGTAGCCATGGTAAAGTGTATCTAAAACACGCATCAAATATCGCGTACTGTCAAGAGCTGGAACAAAGAAATTAAAATGTGTTTTATAGTATGCCTAGTACATGTCTCCTTCTAGTTTTTTTTTAAATGTATTTTAAAGTTTTTATTAATATTTCAAATTTACATTATGAAGAAAAGTCCATTAAACATCAGCCACCTTTTTTAACTTCACCAGAAGGAAGTGCCCAGCAGTGGCTAGGCTGTTGTCTGGAAAGCACCCACAAGCATGTTATGAAGAAATTGTCTTTTTTTTTTCATAATTTAAAACGTTGGCATTTTCTAGTTTATGTATGATTTTAGAGATATTTTATTTTTAAAACTTTAAAATATTTTTCTTTTATTGATCCAAACAATTGGATATATTTATGCATTTATTTATTGTTCATTAATATTTGTTTAAATCAATAAATATTAAAGGAAGATTTGATGTGAATGTTTTAAACCGTTAAGTTAATTTGGTTTGGACCGTGATAAACGCACGCAATGTTCTCCAATTAATTTAGTGACATGTTCTTTCTCCATACACATATGTCATATTGTAATAAAAATCTTTTGATTTTAAACAAAAAAATAACACAACATTTCGGATATCAAGAAAATATTCGCCTGAATCAATGGATATGGGGAAGTAACTTTAAACAAATTGGCTGATGTACATTTTAATGTACATCCTTTCTTTAAACCAGACGATTAAGAATAATGGCGCATTCACAAATGGCCACTAGATCTGACTGATGATTTAGCCAAACAATTATTTAAAGTGTCTTTTGTTAAATGTATTTTTTATTTTAAGAAAACGATTGAACATTTTGCGATTTTGCTAAATAATTAAGGAATGGTGTATGGTGTTATCTAAGAATTGGTACATATCTACTGTAAGCTCTCCCATATTCATTAGACTGTATTTCATTTCTATTTAGGCTACCTGTCCTTTCTGCTGTTAAATAGGCAGTAGTAGGCATTGCTGACATCATCATTTAAACACTTATAAGCCTATAAATGTAGGGAATGCCTTTTAGGATAAAGCTAGATGAAAACGTTGTTTAGAAGTTATAAAAAATGTATTTTAAATAAATGGTATTTAAAATAAAACTTACTTTGCGTTATTGTAGATTAAAATACTAAACCAGCAGAGCAACCACCCCAACTGACAGATCTCACCACAACCACTCCTTTTTTTTTCAAAATAAGAGTTGGGAAATCCTATGCTATTTTTAGATTTAATCGGAAATATGTGTACAGTAGCCGCCATATATTGTGATCACTTATTACTGAACTTTGTTGTCGTTGTTTATCATAATCACACTTTTGGATATTAGCGATCATACTGCGAACGGACATCATTGGCAGAATAACCTGATATTTTAACATTCAACACGATGGGAACTTTAAAAGAGTAAAGATCCTTCCAGTAGGATACACCATGAAGCTACAAAAATGACGTCACCATCATGGCAGGATTATTATTTTTAATGGGATAGCGGAAAGAGAGTTGAAGAATTATCTTCAAGAAAGACGGCCCCTGATCCCCGAGTGGCTGCTTACGTAAAACACTGTGGAGCTGAACTATTCAATATCCTCACTCAAAATGTATTAATAAAATAAACTGTAATGATATGTTTTTCGTTCTTTCTTCATTTCACAAGGTCCGTGTTTATCCTCGTTCATTTCATTCGTGAAAAAACTACAGAAACGCTTGCTTGGAACTAGGGGTAAGGGAAAAAGGGGGGGGGGGAGAACCGTATTCATAGGTTCCTTCGACCCCTGGCCCTGGGAAGCTTAAGTTAAATCTCTTTAATGTTAATAGCAAGATTAGGCTGACTTGTTTATTTAGTCCTTTTTATCCCCCTTTGTTTTACACCTCCACCAAAATGTTTTGTTTTTTTTCCTGCTAAATATTGTTTCATGGCAGTCTTTAGGTTGAGTTTCTTTTTTAGACTTGAGGGTGTGTTCGACCCTGATTGGTCAATTTAATTATTATTTTGCTTGACAGCACCTTTATTCTACTGGACAGCATTTTTATTGCTCTTGGGGTAACCTGTCACCCTAGTTAACCTGTCACTTTAGTTAACCCGCCACCCTAGTTAACCTGTTACCCTAGTTACCCTACCACCCTAGTTAACCTGTCACCCTGGTAACCTGTCACCCTAGTTAACCTGTCACTTTAGTAAATTTGTCACTTTAGTTAACCTGTCAACCTAGTTAGCCTATCACTTTAGTTAACCTGTCACTTTAGTTAACCTGTTACTTTAGTTAACCTGTCACTTTAGTAAACCTGTCACCCTAGTTAACCTGTCAAACTAGTTAGCCTATCACTTTAGTTAACCTGTCACTTTAGTTAACCTGTCACTTTAGTTAACCTGTCACTTTAGTAAACCTGTCATCCTAGTTAACCTGTCACTTTAGTTAACCTGTCACTTTAGTTAACCTATCACCCTATTTAACCTGTCACCCTAGTTAACCTGTAAACCTTTTTTTCTTCCGATACTTCTATATAACTTGGTAAGAATATTTAGTTTAAATACTCTGTATAGAATTGAGCCAATTTTCTCAGAGTTCAAGCATCTCATAATATGTTTAGTTACTAATGGCATAATAAAAGTATGCCTTACGTCTTTTAATCCATTTCTTTTCATTAGTTTTGCCCGAAAATGCCCGTATACTTGTATAGAGCAGAAAATAAACTCTGAGTCGCTAGGCAGTGTCAACCCTATATAGACTTTATGTCGCTGTTAAAAGTCAAGCCAATATAGTCTTTGTGTCGCTGGGCAGCGTCGAGCCTAGACTTTGTGTCGCTGGGCAGCGTCGAGCCTATATAGACTTGTGTTGCTGTGAAGAGTCAAGCCTTTATAGACTTTGTGTCACTGGGCAGCGTCGAGCCTAACTAGACTTTGTGTCGGTGGGCAGCGTCGAGCCTATATAAACTTTGAGTCGCTAGGCAGTGTCATAACTATACAGACTTTTGGTCGCTAGGCAGTGTCGAGCCTATTATAGACTTTGTGTCACCAGGCAGTGTCGAGCCTATATAGACTTTGTGTCGCTAGGCAGTGTCGAGCCTATATAGACTTCGTGTCACTAGGCAGTGTCGAGCCTATATAGACTTTGTGTCGCCAGGCAGTGTCGAGCCTGTATAGACTTTGTGTCACTAGGCAGTATCATGATAGACTTTGTGCTGCCTGGAACGGTCCCTGAGTTAGCTCCCCCCCCCCTCGAAGACAAAATCTACACATCAAATTTTCAGCCCCTCACTACCCCCACATAGCCCCTCACTACCCCCACATAGCCCCTCACTACCCCCACACAGCCCCTCACTACCCCCACATAGCCCCTCACTACCCCCACATAGCCCCTCACTACCCCCACATAGCCCCTCACTACCCCCACATAGCCCCTCACTACCCCCACATAGCCCCTCACTATCCCCATATAACCCCTCACGATGGTTCAAACGACACATATCATATGTGCATTCTATTTGTTTTCTCTCTTCCAGTGTTTACATCCTTTTAATATGTGTTTCCTTGTACCTACAATGGCATCGAAATCTCTCAAATGTGACCGTTTGATACCTAACCCATTAGTACAAGCTTTAAACTGACGTGTGTTTCACTTATTTCCTTCTTCTTCTAGAATTTTTATGAACTTGTCCAAAATTAAAAGCCGTAATTAGAATTTAGCCAGTGTCTTCTCTATAGCCAAGTAAAAAGTTTTTGTTGTTTTTTTCCCTCAAAGTAATGCATGGTGTCTTTTACAATCCCAAATTCAAAAAAGTTTCCTTTCGTCTCATTTGAGCGAAAATATCACTCTTAACAAAAGCGCCGACCGCTGCAGACATCCACCCCCATCCCCACCCCACACCCCATCCCCACCCCACACCCCATCCCCACCCCCCCCCCCATCCCCAGCCGTAATTATTTTTTTTACCCTACCGGTTGGTCTGTCACCTATGTGAAAGAAAATGGCGACTAAAAACATCCGTTTCTTTGCGGCTTCACCTCCCACCCCGACCCCAGCATCCACCTNGGAAGTAAACATTGTTAGAAAAATTGTTGTGGGCATATGGGGGGGGGGGGTCCCGTAGTATGAGGGTTATAACATTCCACTCGATGAAAATTCCTGCGACGCCCTTGGTGTTGAGCTTCGTCGTTTATTTGAAGTTCCCTTCGATAAGTCAGCTTTGCGGAGAGTGGGAAAAAAAAGGTGGAGGGGCGATCTGCTGACTGGCTGAGAAACGTTTTATTCTCCATAAAAACCTCCTGGCACATGATATTTAGTTTTTCAAGAGAAAAGGTTTGACATTCGAATAAGTCACTGTCAGCTTCACAAAGTATAGTTTATTAATGAATTTAATGTACATACCTATGCATACTAAAGCTCTTACAAAATATGCCAGATCATTGTGATATATATAATCCAAAATATATACTATTTGCAATAAAACAGTAGATGTATGCATACTTTTTCTACATATTTTAAAATTTAAAAATGTATCTAATCATTAAAGGGCAAAACCTAGATAAATAATTTGTATAAAAACACACTTAAAGTGAAAGGTATCAGAAATCTAAGGACATGTCAGTTTAAGACTCAGAAGAGATGTTTATACTTTGTAAACTTAAATCGGGCAGATAGTCAAGAAATTGTCCACTTTTTGCGTTTCCATCAACTTCTGTACTAGAATCCGTAGGTCCATTTGGAAGCTCATTTCCCTGGAAATATAATGGCTTATCCGTATGAGTAGGTCTACATAGATGTACTCCATTATATCCGAGAACGGCATTACTCTCTGGCACTGCAACTTGCTCCTCTGTGAAATCCACTGATGGAAAGCTTGTGTCACTGTCCCCAAGATCTGTTCTCTCCGGTGTAGAGGGAAAGGGAGTTTTTAGAAGTGTAGAATCCACGTCCAATGGTTGGTCAGTTTCAATATCATTGTTCAGTTCATTGTTTAAAGCCTTGTCTGGAACGTTAAGCCGTGATCCTGTGTGAAATTTTTTGATGGCATCTTGATGATTGCTGGTGACCCGAGAAGCTGACTGGGTTATTGTACCTTGAATCATGATAGCTTCCGGGTTAAATTGCGGTCCAAACATGATTGGAAAAGAACTTCTTTCTTTCAACTTCGAGAGATATTCCAGACGAGCGTTGTGTAGCTGTTGATCTTTTTGTAACATAATCCCAGTTTTACATTCCAACATTTTTTGTATCCCCGTATAAATGTCTTCATTTCCTTGCCCCGGATCACTTAAATACGTGAAATTTCGCAGGGCCCCGATGGTCGTCGGCAAAACTGTATCATATTCTCGTCTGCCACGAGGCATGGTTTCAATATTCACTACACACAAATTTGAGTCTCTGTTCTGGAGGGCTTTTCTAAGGCAGGCCTGGCCCTTAAACAGCGTCCATTTATCTACACAGAACTTATGGGTTAAAAACAAATACACAAAGATTGTTTTACTCAGGGCGAAGTCGAGCTCTTCCGTCGGTGAATCGTCTTCGTATATGACGTCACTAAAGAGCTCTACCTTTGGCGGAATCAAGGAGTGAGTTTTCTTGTAACGAACATTTTCCTCCAGGTTTTTCTTTAACATCCTCGCCTCTTTTTCATCCTCCTCATCATTCAGAATGAGTATCTCGAAGTTGTCCTTTTTTAAATGTGATGGTAGATGTACTCTCAGATGATCAGGTATGTCATCTATACCTTGCTGTGGAGCACATGGTGGTTCTGTAATCATATAAAATACATGGATCCCCGGTTATTCTAATAACTTATTTAGCCAATGAGCTGTAATTTATTTAAAACCTATATAGTTGCTTTATATTCTATATACGTTCGATAATTATGTATTAATCCTCTATATCAGAGGTTCCCAACCTTTTTGTCTCGTGGAGCCCTTTAAATAATCGATTTCTACTAGGGAACCACTTGGGCCTACCTTAGGTCTTAAAGATTAATAAAAGTTTCCCATAGCGACTGCGGAGCCCCTGAGACTTGTGGAGCCCCTGAGACTTGCGGAGCACATGCATGACGGTAACCACTGCCCTTTATATTAAATTGAAACTATAGCGACATCTACTCACCAGTGAAGGGACGTGCGTCGAATTCTGTGTCATTTTCTAATGCAGTTGATGGTGACGCCTGGTTGGACATTGTTGACATATAGAAGACAATAACGTTATCCCAATATTTGATTTGATGAAGACTGCTGACAACGCCAACCGAGTTCTTTCGTTAAACTGTCACAGCGGGAATACCAACACATCTATTTATGACATACGAGTAAACAAGGCAGTCGTCGGTAGGCACTACCAATACAATCTGAGTAATTTGCATAGCGCAGTGTTACTTCAGGCGTCTCTCACGAACAAGGCGTCGGATCCCCCCCCCAACCCCGCCACCCCACATGAATATGTGTAGCTTTAGCAATAAAACAAAACTGTACTTTATTTAACACACAAAAGTATTTTTATAACAATTAATAACATCTTTTAAAAATAGTGGTAGAGGGTGGAGTTGAACGGTTAAAATTTGTTAAATAGTGCAAATCAATGACATATCGCTACGATATATTTATATCTTAGGATTTGAATAGTTATTTAGGCCTAAGGCCAATCGGTCTGGCTACAGCGTTTCATTTCAAATATATAGTGAAAATTTTCTTGCTTAGTACCGTATCAAAATTGTTAAAAATTTCTATATCTCTATTGAATCAGATCAAATGTAAAGTAGGATGCTAATTATCAATTTTATAATGGAAATATGTAGGATAATTTTTCATGTAGTTGATTCTATGAATGTTCAGCTATATAAAAATTAAAATGTTAAGAAAACTTGATTGACTTGATCATTCTTTTTACATAAATTATAATTTGATCAAATAGTGATGCGAAAGTTGTGACGAGGCTTCATACAAAAATGTTAATGAAAGGAACTTGATCGTGTGAATTGAGCATTAGTGTAAACTATGTTACGTACTGTTATCAATATGGAGAAATTAATCTCTTATTTACGTATATAGATATAAGAGAGAGAATAATAATATTTAAATTATATTATAATAACATAAAACTAGCATGAAAAATAAAAATCTGCCTACACATTTACTTATTAGTTGTTTGTTTTTTTTAAATTTTGAACTTATGAGGAAATTATCCTGTGTTGGTGGGACATGCTGTTCATAAGGTATACATGGTCAGGGTTTTGTTTAGGATGAAAACCTAAGATCGAATATGTTTTAAGAGTTCTGTTAAATTTGATTTTTTCCATTTGGTGTTGTCGCCCTCAGAGGGTGTCACATGGTACTGCCAGCACTCCCGTTATGTTACTGTGTGTGTTTGTGTGTGTGTATCGTTTTATCTTTAAATACAAGTTGTATCGATGAAACAAGGAGGGAGACAGCATTATTTTACAAGCTTTGCTTCCAGCATAAATTTTCCTTCGAATGACCTTAACCATATTATTGGAGGAGTAGTGGTTGTTAACCAGGGGTAAAAGTACCTCCCCAGTCTGCAGTGTGGAAAACCAGAAAATTGTATTTACTCCCAATGCTAGCTGTTGCTAAATTTTTTTTTTAAAATAATTTTTGTATGCATTTTGATTAGCAGCAGAAAATGTTTTTATTCTGGTGAATGTTGTTGGCCCATTACTTGTAATTCTATCTTTTTGTCTTGTTTATAAAAAGTTAATTAAAGAAAAAAAAACTACAATAACTAAATTATTTAATTAATTCTATATATTTTAAAAAATTGTATTACAATATAATTAATACGGTTGTGTGTGTGTGGGTAGGGGGGGGGGGTTAATGTTTAAAACGGAGTGGGACTGCAGCGCTGAAAAATTATCAGAATCCCTATCCTTAAAGCATTGACTATGATCACCACCACCACCAACCCCCCCCCCCCCCCCCCCCCCCCTCTTTTTTTTTTTCTTTTGCGTTTGATCCCACCTCACGTGGTGGTCCTAATCCTATGACTCCCGCGCCAAATTTAGACAAAAATTTTCACGACTGTCATGAATCTACACTCCGATTCGCCTCCTCCATGGCGTCCAGTAACTTGACCACATGCCATTTTTCGGACCTCGCATACCTGTACTGATTCTCTCAGTGATCGTAGTTACATTTTTAACATTATTATTTTATAATTATTTTATTGTTAATTTAATTTACTTAATTCAGAGTTATTAAGTGCAATTCTTTACAACAATATTTCGCATTTCCCGTGACGTCACATTGCATAAGCCCCCCCCCCCCGGTCACACATAATCACAAAAATGTTACCCTCCCCCTAGACACGTGACGTCATTTAAGGATGGCCCCAATGAACACTTCAACTGCTCAGCTAAATTAATGCCGAATTAAAATTCAAGTTACATAAATTCTGAGTGTCTTTTTTTTTAAACCTCAAAAAATGCACGCAGTCGTAATGACTCACCTTAAATCTTAAATGATGACTAATTAATCATCGAAGTCTAATGCATGCAATTGCAGTCAGTGGCGTAGCTAGGGGAGGGGTGTCCAAATTCGAAAGTTCCCCCGGGCCTCTACATGAGGGGGCCCCCCAAAGGAGTGTCCGAATTTTTTTTTTACATTAAATATTACGCCACTGCCATGTAATCTTGCTATTCACGTTGTTATATAAGTTACTGATCCTATTGCATGTATTCCACACAGATTTAGGATTTCAAAATTACGTATATCAACACCCATGTAAAAACTGGTAAAAAGTTTTCTAAAATTGTCAAAACATAACTCCGGTTTTTGTAAAACACGTTATCTTGACGGCATTTTATCGGTATCTTCTATTTCATGTCCATGCTATAACCCAACGGTCCATAGACATAAATAGAAGGGTAATAGTTCGTATATCAATTTTCGATCAATTTTCCCACCCTTGCAATCAATTTTCCAATGAAAAATTTGAACCCTTATTTTATTTTAAAAACATACTCAAAATAAATTTTAATACAGGTTTATTTCACTAAAAAAATTACGCTCCAATGAAAATAGAGAAAAATTTGTTTAACAATATCAGACAAGGCATGTCTACCAAAGCTATATCCTATGCTTTAGAGTTAAACTATTAGGCCGTTTTAAAAGTAATTAATAATTATAAAAAAAACTGGCCAAATTGTTGTTAAACAAAAGGGAGGGAATAGGCGTTCAAAGCTTGATCTAATACAGAGAGACCAAATTCGTGCTTGGGTCGATGAGAACCAGGGCTGCCACATCTTGGGAAATTTTCCAAGATATTGGGAATGCACTAACCCATCCAGGACAAAATCTCACTTTTTTTTTTTAAATCCCAAGATAATTTCCCTTTTTTAAAAAAAAAAACTCTTATATATTATCATGATCTTGGGAAATCTTGGAAAATATTTTTACCAAATCTTGGGAATTAAATAAAAATTTGAGTGGCAGCCCTGATGAGAACCGCTTGAACGTTGAATGAGTAAAGTGATAAGGTTCTTGAAAAATTTTCATTTCAACTTTCTCATATTACAATTGACCAGTGTCTAAGGTCATTTCACTATACTCGTAAACAGACAACAGCAGTTCCAGAACCTCGAAACAATGAGATAACCATTGAAAAACGGTATATCTATGCTCAAAAGGTTCGAGAGTATGAAGTAACTCATAGTGCTGAAAGATTTTTAGATGATGTGGGGTTTGCAGTCTCAAGACCAAAAAAAAAGGTCGTTTGCTTGTTGGTACATCCGCTAATGTAGATGTGCCTGCAGCAAGAACTAGAAATATTTCTGTCTTTGCTGCCATGAATAAAAACTGTATGACATACAGCAAAATTCATGATATAGCTTTAAATAGCGAGGATTTTAAGGTTACGTTAATGAACCTTAAAACAAAATGTACAGAATTGGGTAGAACAGATTCAAAATTTATTCTTGATAATGCTAGAATTCATCATTATTCGGGTTTGGCTTCTTTAATTTCAGAATTAAACTTGACACTCGAGTATTTACCCTCCTATTCACCTTTTCTCAATCCAATTGAAATATGCTTTTCTAAATGGAAAAACTATGTTATTAGAGAGCGATGTAAGAGCGAAGAGCAATTAAAGGTTTGTATTAATGAGGGTTTCAACGTTAATACCACAACAGACTGTGATGGATTTTACAGAAAAATTTTAAGGTACATAATCCGATCAGAAAGAATGGAGGAAATAAAGAAATAAATTTGATTTTTACTATTAATAAATTTATTATACCATTTTTAGTATGTTTTTAAAATAAAATAAGGGGTACAATTTTTCATTGGAAAATTGATTGCAAGGATGTGAAATTTGATTGCAAGGGTGGGAAAATTGATTGAAAAACCCTATATTTATGTCTATTCGTCTGACGAAATTTCACAATCATGGCGGATGAAACAAGTATATATATAATGTTTAGTATTTTTTTTTTTTTGGTGAAATAAGAAGAATGTTGTTCTTTATAGGGGAACTTCACCCACGCCGAAAGAAAGAGTTTACCAGAGTGGGGCTACACAACGGAAAAAGCGTGCTGCAGAAAGGCAATACTATCGGCATCCTTCCGTCTCGTGAGACGATGGTGCATCACCGTTTGGTTGGGTTGCATTTTCGAGAGTGGCTGTGCAGTCCTATCCTTGAGTGACAGTCTTTACCACAGTTTTTACACACGAGTTCCGTGCTTCTAAATGTTTTGGCCTTTCTCCTAGCTCTTCTGTCTGCAGCCTCTTCCATTCTTCGCTCCTCGGCTACCATGACGCCCTCTTTGACAACTGTGCGCCACGTAGATCGGTCTTTTGCCTTACACTCCCAGTCACTTGTATGTATTTTGGCTGCTTTCATGTCCCTTTGACAGACATCTTTAAATCGCAGACGTGGGCGACCTGTTTTCCTCTTTCCAGAAGCAAGTTCACCATATAGGAGGTCTTTCGGAATGCGGCCGGGACTCATTCTTTTAACATGACCTAGCCATCTCAGGCGTCTTTCACTAAGGATTGTGAACATGCTTTGGGTATTCGCACGCATTAGGACCTCACTATTAGTCACTTTTTCTTGCCATTTAATACCAAGGATGCGACGCAGGCATCTCATATGGAAGCTATTAAGCTTGCGCTCTTGGGATGTATAGGTGGTCCATGTCTCGCTCCCGTATAGTAGTGTACTGATGACACAAGCTCGATAGACGCACAGTTTGGTTTTCTCCGTTAGCTTGGTGTTTTGCCAGACCCGTTTATTTAGTTTAGCCATTGTGGCAGCTGCCTTGCCGATTCTGCTGTTAATTTCTTCTTC